GGCACACCAACTAGGTCAGTGCGCCATCGCTTCATGGCACGGACAATGGCGAGAAGCTCTTTCTCGTGCACCGGGTAATTAAGCTCTGCCCCTTTCAGTTGGGTGGAGTCGAAGGCGACGGGTCGCGCCGTCTCCAACGACTCCCCATATGAAAGCATTGCCCCGGTGCAGAAATCACTCACATCGGTAGAGAGGAAGATACGATTCCTCCCATATTCGTGTGGTCGATAACGGTAAGGCACTCACGGCTGGTAACGACTTGCTTGATCGCTTCGAAGGTGTCGGTGTGGTCATCAAGCCACACAAAGTCTTTCTCGGCCTCCTTCGTAGTGAGCGGAGTGAGCACAGCGGTATGTGTTGCCAAGGAAGGAAGGAAACTGGAGATATATCGTACAAGGCCGAGGAAGGAGCGCACATCAGACACAGAGCGAGGCGTTGGCCAGGAGAGGATCTTGTCGACCTTTGATGTGTCTGCTTCGATGCCGGCACGAGAGATACGGTGTCCGAGGAAGGTCAGCTCTATACAGAACAAGTCGGTCTTCTTTGGTGAACAATAGAGTCAGTGGTTTCGCAGGGCAGTGAGGATAGTTTCTACATTACATCGGTGTTCTTCAATGGAGTTGGACCAGATAATAATGTCGTCGAGATAAACATGGCAGATTGAACCTATATAAGGGCGGAGAGCCTGAAACATGCGGTGTTGGTGTGTTGCAGGTGCATTGCGACAGCCTTGGGGAATGACGGTCCATTCATAGAGCCCATATGGCGTCGCCACGGCCGTGTATTTGACGTCGTCTGGGTGGACTTTCGTCTGGAAGAAGGAGTTCGTCATGTCGATCTTCACCCAGATCTTGCCTTTGCCGCAGTCGGACAAGATCTCCGCGATGCTCGGTAGGGGGTGAACGTCGGGGACTGTGTTGTCATTGAGGAGACGGTAGTCGTTGACCCAGCGAGGGTCCGCAGTAGGATCGGATTTCGGAATCAAAAAGCAAGGAGAGGAGTAGGGGCTGTTGGAAGGTCGCAGGCGTCCTGCTGCGATGTGATCCTCCAGCAGACGCTTCCAAGTTTCACGATACTTCTTTGGGGACTCGTACTGCCGACATTGGATGGTCATATTAGCGTCCTTCAACACAAACCGATGGTAGATGTCCTCGGGTAGATTGTCAACCGGTGGGAGTTCAGTAGGGAACCGGTCGGCGAACTTCTGCCTCATCTTCCGGTTCTCGTCCGTGAGCTGCGCTTTCAAGGTCTCTGTCGCCGCTAGAGCCTCGACGTGCGCGCTTACAGCGGCGACATGGTTGGTGTCGTCGAGTATGGTGGAGACGTGAGCCAGATAAGGCTTACAGCCCATTTCGAGTTCGCGCAGAACATCACGGAAGCATGTCGCATCGTGGGCACGCTCCAAAACACGCATCTCGCGACGTTCTGGGATGGGCAGAGGAGGAGAGGGTGTCGGGCGTGGTTTCGGGTCGAGGAGGTCAAGATCGGTGTTCTTATCGCGCAGGGTGCGGTGCTCGGCATCGAGAACAAGGTGATTGATACAAAGGAAAGGCAGACCTAGAATTACAGGCGTGCATAATGAAGGCACAATGACGGCACGGCAAGTGATGGACGACCATTCGAAGGAGGGTGTTGAAACCCGCAGTTTGACCCACTCTGAAGCCTCGCTTCTCTCTCCATTCCACGCGGATCCCATCACAAAGGGGGCGTTGAGTTTATGTCGCCGGAGGTTGAGCTCCGTGGCGAGGTCATCCCTAATAAGAACTGTGGATGACCCGGAGTCAACAAGCATGGACAGGGGAGCGGAGGTACGCGAGGGGCCATGGACAACCCCTTGCAGATGTAAAGGAGAGGATGAGAGTATGGGCTCCACGTACTCATCGGATTCGGAATCCGTTCTGGACCCGAGAACATTGCTCAGCGAGGCCGCAGCCGGGGACGCGGTGTTGATGGCGGCGACAGTGTGGACAGCGTCGTTGTCGACATCCATCGGAGCAGAGACTGCAGCCACCACGGATTTGCCCTTGGACTTGTGAGCGTCAATGTCAGCTTGGGTAATCGGCCTAAACGTGCGAGCATCCGGAAAACCGAAGGGGCACTCCTTCGACCGGTGATTCACGAAAGGGCAGCGACACTTGAAGCAGCCGTCATGAGCTTGTAAGAGCTGTCGCTCGTTGTTAGTCATTGCAGGGAGACGGGTGGAAGTAGAAGTCTTCGATGAGGTCGAGGGCCCAGCAGTAGTGGCGCTCGACTTGGGTGCCTTTTGCGTAGGTTGCTGACTTGCAAGGAAGTGTTCGATGTCCTTGAATCTTTTGGCACGGTCTGCAAGGCGTTCATCGTCGAAGACAGAGAGGGTGTCCTTCCACTCCTTGAAGTCGACAATGTCTTTGTAGATCTTCTTCGTCGCGGCACGGCGGACGTCGACCCAGGCGTTCGCAGTTATTTGAACTTTCAGCGCCTTCTCGTCCTTGTGAAGGTCGCTGCCTCGCAGCAGTCGGTTTTGCTTTTCGACGGCAACGACCCAGTCAGTGAAGCGTTCGTCTTCCTTTTGACACATCCGCAAAATAATCGTCGACACGTCGTCTTGCCACTCATGCGGTAGGTAGCGAGAACGGATCTTGTTGACGAAGACGGCGAAGGTCAGAGCGTTGATGTTCTTGGCGTCGTTGATGTACCAGTCCTGGATGAGTTCGTCCTGGAACCCAAAGGCAACCTTGGCAACCTTGTCTTCATCCTTCACCTCGCGTTCACGGAAGAAGGCCATGCAGGCCGCCTCCCACTGTAGGATCAGGGCGGGCGTCAGCTTGCCTGCGCTCACGACAGGTGCGTGTTTCTGCGAGACTTGGGTCACCGTGGAGAGTGGTCGGGCATTGGTGTTCTTAGCGTCAACAGACATGGTGGGCGGAGGGAGAAACAGGCACGGTATGTCGTCCGACAAGGACAAGGAGGTCGACGAAGCTGAGGGAGATGTGTTTAGTGACTGTATGCGTGGGTATTCGGGCGGAGGAGCTGGTGGGAGGCGAGGGGACCTGGCAGCAGTTGGGGGTGTCCCTTCAACAGTGGGCGGCTCTTGTTCGGCGGCTTCCGCCAGGGCTTCTATCAGCTCGTCCACGCGGATCTCGGACAGAGAAGACAATGGGGTGATTGAAGAGGAGTCCGTTGGTGGTGTGGTTTCCTCTTTGACGGTGTCGGTGTCAGTGTGAGCGGTGACGGTATCAGCGGTACCCGTTCATGCATACGAGCGAGTGCAGAGCGGTATCGGTACGGAGGGTGCCCGTCAAGACGACAGGTTGGGCAGCGCGGGTAAGGAACACGTGTTCGCTTCGGTCAGTTGCAGTTGTGTGTGAAGTTTAAAAAAAAGTGTAGCGCGGTCGGTGTACCGCGCTCACTCGAACAATGCAAAACTGGCACAAATGATCTGCATTGCTGATCGTAAGAACTAAGACATGAACCGAGAGTGAGATACGTACCTGCGTTGCTGATCGTAAGAACTAAGGACGAGCAACGCAGGACGAACGAACTTGAACAGCTACCGGAATAGGAAGGATGTGTAAACAAGACACGCGGCGCTTATCACGCCGCGGAAGCAAACGAACCAGATGGAAGCAAAATGAGGTGTGAGGTTGTAACACTGAATGAGCGGTGTTACAATAACATCAGTTACAGATCACTGAGTATGTATATTTCTGTTGCACCAGAAAAGGCACAATGGCCACTGTGTCTAGCCAGTCACATGATCAATGACGTGGGGTTGCAGTGGTGTTTTATTGCTGCAGTGCTGCGACCCCATGTCATGGATCATGTGACTGCAAAAAAGTGGTCAAAAATCGGAGAATATTCATTCTGAGGACAAAACCTACTGTTTTGGGCCCAGAGAAATGGTATAAATTCCCAATAAATTGGAAGGCCTTGGTGCAGCTATCTTAAAGTACTTTGAAGTCATAAAAGGTCAATAGGGTATCAATTACAGGTCCCACAAAGCTGCCAGTCAGCTTCAAGCTACAGTAGTGACATTACCACATTGGGTGTGACCTGTAGTGACTCTATGATATCTTGGAGTGATTTGCCTGAAATTAGAGCACAATGTTTGGTGTTTTAGGATTCAGACAGTGTGATATTGAGGTATCCAGTGCATATGTGGCTTGATGAGTATGTACATTTAACAACATCACTAGACATAGCCATGTGTGTGATCCCAATATGTCTGAAATACTGTACCATTTCGACCTCAAGTTCAGTCACAGGTCGCACCCTCCCCTGAACTAGTGTTTTAGTTCAAATGTCACAGGTCACAGGGGGGTCTGAACTAGGCTCTCCTGGAGATGGTCACAGGTGTAAAAACACGTTTTCCGGGCCAACAGCGCAGTTCATTCAAGAGCACAATAGGGGTAATTAAGCACAATAAGTAATGTTCTACCTAATGATCATTTTGCCCTTGCCTTTCCATTCCCGATGCACATTCGAGTCCTCCGAGTCCAGGGTAGTGTTGGCCGACAAGTCGCCCTGTAGAGACGCCTCGATTGCAGCCTCAATGTCAATTATCTCTTGCAGTCCAAGGCTAGCAGACTCGGAGACATAGTCATATGATGACTCAAGTCTGACCTGTGATGTCAATGCAACTGCTGCCACCGGCTCCGGCTCTGCTAGAGCATCTGAGTTGAAGTCATGCTCCAACTAACCTAAGCACACCTGCATTGTCGTCGAATTCATCATCCTCCATGAACAACGGCTCCTCATAGTTGTCATGCAGATCTGGGTTCCGTTCCACCCGGGAAATCACCTTCCATACATCAGGCTCCTTGCACTCGATGTCGATAAGAAGCTGGAGGGCCTCACGGCTCGTAAGACTGGCATGGGAGAGGTTCAGTATCGTGTCTCTGACTTGGATGCGGCACAGTTGGAATGCCTTCAAGACGGATCATTGAGACTGAGAACACGAAGATACATCAGGTAAGGAAAGCACGAACCTGTTTGATGATAGCTGGTTTATTGCACTGTTTGTATGCCTTGACGAGCCACCCTAACCTCCGATTCCTGAGAACCCCGACTGTCACGTCCAGCTTCAACGGCTCTTTGGGCTGGCCTTTGCTCTTCAACGTGATGTTATGATTGATCCTCGCAAGAGCCTCACTGACGACGTCCTCGTGTTGTGCCTGCCAGATTGTGTGTTTGATGGGCCGCTGCATGCCTGCATCGCATGGTTGGAAAAGTGCTGTACAACCGCCGGGGACGTACTCGTGCAGTACCCATGCGAACATCTTCTCCGTCCAGGTTGCAAACTCTTGTCCACGATGGACACTCCAAGCATCAAGTTGCAGGATACATTCCTGTTCTTCGGGCAGGCCCAACTTCTCCTTCTGGCGGGCGAAGTAGGGAACAAGTATCTTACTAACGTAGCTGCACATCATGGTGAATGTCGACCAATGGGTCTGTGTCTTTGACGGCTCAAACAGGAACTCCGAACCCAAAGCTCATTGCCTTGTCCCAGAGCGCGGCACCTGCATTGTCACCATGTAGCCGACTCGGGAGGGACTCTTTCGTTTTGCCTTTATACATCACTTGGAATGGCAAGAGTTCACCACTGGCAGAGACACCAACAAGGAGGGTGAATGCGTGTTTCTCTTCTGCACTGAGGATGGACACTTGCTTGGAACCGGTCTCTTCGTAAGTTGCTTGGCTTCCGTCCTGGTATACAACCATCGTCTGGTCAATGTTGACACGGAGCTCAGCAGGGATACCCTTATCGCAAATATCCTTTGCCTGGCGAGCAAAGGACTTTCAACACTGTGCTTCGGCATCTAGGGGTACCTTTTGGGCTGCCCGGGTTCCGTGGTGCAAGCTCCACTTCAGCTGCACATGGAGAAACTTCTGCATGAAAGAGTCACTGCACTTGAATGTGCTCCCGTCCTTCGCCTTCACCTGCAACAACTCTGGGGCGGCACTTGTGATATGGGCCACCATGATCGCACGGCATATTTGTAGACTGATCACAATACCGTATCTGCGTAGCGAGGTGAGCTCGTCTGTGATGGCGTCGACGATGTCAGGCCGTGACGACTGATGGACACAGTTAGTCTCTATCCTCCTGTTTACGGCACAGATGATGTAACATACCAAGAATCCGACCCGGGTGGGAGTGCAACTCAGCTTCAGGGCTGCTTGTGCCGCTGCTCGATCCAAGGACAATTGTTTCCAGCACAGTCTAGTGCCAGTGCCATCAATCATACGACCGATGACCTGCGAGGTGATGCCACTGAAGTCGCCTGGGTTTGTTAGGTGGAGATAGGGAGTGATTGCTGTGTCTGACATGCTGTAGCCGCACACTCTTCCCGCTGCAATGATCTGCGACCATAGGAACAGATGGACTCAGTTGGTGTGTACACTTCGTTGGGCCAGATGGATACGAGGATGACCAATGTCCGTGTTCTGCTCACATTCTAGCTCGTTGAACATTCTGCGAGGGCGAGACAGCTCAGCAACACTCGTGGTCCGACTGAGCGGAGTATCTGTACTAGAGTCGCTTGCATAGGTAAGCTCCAAATCGACTGTCTTCCACTTCTGTCAACATTCATCAGGAAAAACGGATCTGTCTTGGGCGGCATTACAAGAGATATCAGTCACGTGAAAGGCCTTCAAGACGTCGTGCTGACTTGAGAGGCGTTTAAGACAAGTAAAAGACCTCAAAGACGTGGAAGCCATCAATTCCATCATGTCTGACTTGAGGCGCAGTTACTTGTAGTACAATTACCTTTGACTAATGACCAATACACTTATACGCCCTCACTTTTGCATTTTCACTCCTCACAAGTCTGATTCAATAAAGAATACTACGGTACAATACCATCATCTGTAGTGAGGCTCCTGCAACTGTATCTAGTCACACATAGCTCGTGGCCACTCACTCTGTGGATGAGTGCCTGGTGGTTGGCATGACGAGTGATTGCTCATCCATGCCGAGTCCACAGGTCCACCATGACGGCCATCTAACTTGGTCCATTGCCAACTTGATGTGGGTGCGCAGACGAGTGATTGTTTGCGTGGGTGAGCCGGTCGCTACTAGCCGGCCGAGCAGGGGGAGGGCGCACACAAGAGTGCAGGCGAGAGAACGTAGCCGAGCACGCGGGTGAGCGGGTGAGCGGGTGAGACAACGGGCGAGCTAGAAGGTGGGACAGCAAAGATGGCGCACGGAGAGACAACGGGTCAGCCGGCCCATGACTCTGCACGCGCGTCGACGTCCCTGTGTCCAGACATACTTGAGCTGGACAATGGTCAGTGCACCTCCGCCCATCGTCTAGCCTTCACTCACCTCGAGAATGCGGCTCTCGATTTCTCTGTCTGCCCGCCGTCTACTCCCCTCTCAGTCGCACCCAATCCTATCCCATTCACCACTGCTGCCTGAACGTGGGATGTCCGGCACCGTGGGCGTAGGTGAGCACCGCTACGGTCATGTCAATGCCGCCACGTACCGATCCCAGCCAATGCTGATGTACAACACACAGCCCCGCATCCCGGCGGAGACGATCTCTGCGGCGCACGGTGAGTCGGACAATGCAAGTACATACCGTGATGCAGCGCGCATGCTTCTTTCCACTGCAGACCGATCAGGATTGACAACAGGAGGATGACAGCCCATGCTGACCCGTCGATGTGCCACTGCACGGGCACTAATGACGTCGACAGGATGATCAGGCCCGCCGTGAGCACAATGCAGATCGTCCACGGTACCCAGAACCTCTTGAGGATCTTCGGGATGTCCTCGAAGAAGATCGACCGCTCGACCTCCTTCTTCGCACCCCATGAGATGTTGTGTGAGAACAGGTGGGCGATAATCGCCTGGCTGACGGGGATCGACAGACCGCCAAAGAAGAAGCTGCACAATACGTCAGTCCTCAGCCACGACACAATCACTATGGACTTACAAGTATGGAATCCACATAACGTTGATGAGGAAAGACTTGATCAGCGGTTTCTCACCCAGAGGGTACTGGAGTAGAGTGTAGCCGCCGGAGCCTATGAAGACTACCGTCGTCGCCAGCCAAATCTCGAACGGAGTGCATGTAGTAGCCGTCAACGGGAAGCTCGAAGCCGAGGCGGATGTAGTTGATGACACTGATCGTGATCGAACACGCGATACCGTAGTACGAGAACATGTACGACATCATCGAGAACTTGTAGTGCAGCGGCGCGACCAGAGGAACGAGTGGATCTCCCTCGCGATTGGGCCCTGGCGCCACACCACCGAGCTATGGGGTTGAATGGCAGTTCGTTACAGCCGTACGCGTACTTCTGCCACCGGTTCAGCTTGTCATCGCACGTCAAAGACACACCTTCCTTGAAGGCACCGAGGGAGTATGTATCGAATGATAAAACCGCGCTCCTGGAGCTGCATCGCCATGTCGAAGTCCTCCGACACGTTGCTCTCGGACCGGATCTTGTCCTGGCAGCACGGTCAATGAACGCGGTGTGTAGGTTGTGAGTCTCCGGGGTCGAAAAGAGACCGGAAGGAATCGATGGTGTCGGTAGAAACGACGGGCGGGGGCTGTTGGCAAGCGGATGGGGAGGGGATGTGACGATTCGGGCCCGGAGGGGACGTACGAGCTCGGATACTCGCAGGGGACACTGTAACGCGGTCGGAGGAGAGTGGTGGAGTCGTCCCACAACGCAGGGACTCAGAGTGAACGCGTAGAAACTCGTTGAAGCCGGATAAAACGCAGAGAGCCGGAAGGAAACGCGGTGCTCGTTGAAGGTGAACGCAGTGATCTATTCGCAACGCAGTAAACGCAGTAAACGCAGGACGCAGTCAGAAACGCAGGGAATCGCCGTTGAGCTCGCTCTCTACTCCTAGGTGGTAGGTAGGTAGGATCTCCCCCGTCCGGTCCCCGGCCCCCTCCCTTATGTTCCCTCCGACTCGATCTCCCACGCCTCCGCCTCGCTGGCTCCTCTCCCCGTACTCTTCCGTTCCTTCCGGGTCCTCTCGGGCCCTCCTCCGGTCCCCCTTCGCCCCACCGGTTCCCGTCCTCCCCTTGCACTGTACCATGTCGTCCTCCATGCCCCTCAATCCCCTCGCCACCGTCTATATCCGCCGGTACTTCCTCCTGCTGGAAGTGCTTCGACATGAACGGGCCGCCGAGCCACGCCTCGATATGTCCTCCCCTGGCACCTGGCTCGTGTGGGGTCACGGCGTTCGCTGGCTTCTGGTACGCATGCCCCCGCTTGTCCCTTCCGCCGCTTGACTCTTGTCCTAGCGCATGCTCTTCGACTCGTTCTCCCTGGCTACGGCCCATGGCGACGCGTCCCTTCCGTCACCCCGCAGTGTTCCCTCCGTGGCCTCTTTGCTCGCGTATGTTGACGCCGTATTCGAGGGCATTCCCTCCGACATCGACACCGGCACCGCCCTGTATCCTGCCATCGCGTGGTCCCCTCACAGGGTCCATGCCGATCCGTCCGTCGGACAGCCTCGCCCCCAGTCTCCCCCTCAGTTCGTAGACCCACCCCTTCGCCTATCTTCCCTCCGGCTTGCCTCCGATAATCACGACTCCCTTCATGCTCGCATGGGCGCGTTGATGAGCGAACAGCGGTCCTCTGCCGGTCGTATCCGTAGCGACGTCGGGTTTGTAGTCCGCGAGATCTACGACTTGGGCCGTTCCGTCCGCCTGATCACCGAACCTGATGGTGCTTTCGGGGGTGCTGCCGGAGGGAACGTAGATCCGGAGGAGAGTTCTGTCGGAGGCCCGGAGGGTATCGACGTCACCGTTCCGGAGATGTTTGACGGAGGGAACACTATTTCGTAGCGCGGAGGAGAGTTCGGTCGGGGCCCGGAGGGTATCGACGTCACCGTCCCGGAGATGTTTGACGGAGGGAACACTGTTTCGTAGCGTACCCTTGGCTTGTAGTCGTTCGTGACTCTCTGAATGAACGGCCGGTTCTTGTGCCGTTCCTTCCCTTGTGCTATACGTTGCCTTACGGGGCTGGGCTACGTCCCTGCCCCACATCTCCCCCCACCTGAAATTCTGACCGTCCTCGGTCAGGTCCTGCCTGCTGGATCACCCAGGCCCTTCCGCCTTGAGGACTCCTCGTGCGTTCCCCTAATCGCGATTGTCCCTCGTGCTTATGACGTATTCCGTCCGGGCGCCTCCTTCGTGAGATCGATTCCCCTGACCAGCTTCCTCCGGGCACAAAACACGCCGCTGCTCGCCATCTTGATACCGTGTCCGCTTGCTTTCAACTCCCTTGATCTCCCCTTCATCCGACTCTCGTCTTTTCATTATGGCCTCCCCTCCGATATCGCGCGAGCCGTCTGCTTCCTCTTCGGGCTCGGCTCCTTCCGGCGCTACTGCGTCGACCTTCTACGAACGCCGCGCAGCTCAGGCGCAATTAATGGAGCTTCGGGACGACGTGGCAACGTTTCTCTCCGCCCGTGCTAACCGCCCCCTCCCAGCTGACGCCGGGGACCTCGAGGTAATGGAATGGCTCCGGTGGGCCCGTAGGGCCGTCTATCTTCAGGTATCGGTCCCCGTCTTCCTTCCGCTTCATACAATCGCTGACCTTTAGTCCACTGTAGCTTACTTTCGAGGCGAACTCCCTGGTCGCGCAGCGGAACGGACACGAGTCCCCCGGCAATCCGCCCTCCACCATCGAGGCTTTGAACCGGCTGTCTGACACCGTAGCGGAGCGTGCTTTTGCAGTAGGGGCACCTTACCAGGCGTATGCTGCCCAGCTTCGTGCTGACATCGAGAACCGGGTCGGCCTCCGGGATGATCTGCGCGCCGCGCGCTGGAACGATGCTCCCCTGGTGCTTAGTGAGCACGTTTTCACCGTCGTTGGCCCGTCCGTCCTCCCTCCGCTGGTCCCTTCGTCCCTTCCGCCCTCCGGTACAATGTCGGCCCCGGTTGCTCCACGCATTCCCGCTCCCGTTCCGGTTCGCACTGCTCGTCCCGCTATCCTTCCTGTTCCTCCACCCTCGCGCCCCGCCTCCCCTATGGCCATCTCGCCCCCCGTTCCTGACCGCGAACCCTTGTTTCTTCCGGGCACGCCGTCTCCTCCTCCACGCGTTCCCTCCCCACCCGTCGCTCCTCCATCCGCCGCCCCCTCCGGGCTCCCCGTTCGTCGTGTTCGCCTTCGAGTGGCTGACGAGCCGCCTACTCCTCCTCCCGCCCCTGTTTCTGGCCGCGACGTAGTTCCACCCCTCCCTTCCGGTTCTACCCAGGCCAACCGGATGCGATACGGGCCCTACGTGTACGATGCGATTCCCCGCTGCGAGTCCTGCGTTACTCGCGGGACCATCTGTCGCACCGATGGGCTTCCTCATCACCAGTGCGCCCCCTGCGCTCGGAGCAAGGCACGGTGTTCCCTCCGGACGCTCGGTACGCCTCCTTTCCTTAGTTCCGCTGACCCGTTTCCACGTCCGACTTACCCCGTGTTGCAGACAAGGGTCCCTTTGAGATGTGGTACATTGGGCCTCACCCGCTCATCTCTCGGTCCCAAGCACGCGGCTACGATTTCCGCACTTCCGTGCAGGGACGAGTTCACGGCAACGTCCCCCGCGACCTTCTCAGCGCGTTCCCGGATGATCAGCCTGGCCCTTCCACTCCCGCCGCGCCTCCTGTTCCCGGTCCGTCTTCCCGCCCCACTCCCCCTCTTCCCCGCACTGGTGCCATACGGGATCGGGCCCGGAGGCTCAAGACCGACGCCGCTCGAGCCGAGGCTCTCTACACTGCCCGATTCTCAAGGGCGTCGCAGGACCACGAGCCTTCCGGTGAGCGGGAGGGGGCCGACGACGTTCAGGAGGATGAGGACATGCCACCGCCGCAGGATGGCGATCCAGAGTCCGAGGACGATGCGTAGAGGTTCCTGCTGTCCATAGAAATGTATATCGTTGCTGTGTCTCCGCTCTCCCGCAATGCATATTTCCGCTATCGCTCCCTGGTAATTCTGGCGCCGTGCCCCGTCGTCTTTGATCCCCTTGTCCTCGGTTTCCCCTCTCTTTTTGACTCCATGAGGCCATCGATCGTTCTAGTTCCTTGCCCAGTATCTCTCCCCTAAGATCGCCGCGTGTCGCCTCGTGATCTTCGTGTTTCCCGTCTTCCGCGTCCTTCTTCCGATCCGCCCCATCCGGTCCCCCCTCCCCTCCGCCTTGCGTCCAACACATGTTATCCTTCCGTGTCTTCTGATCCCTCCCCTCCCCTTCCTTCCTTCATACTTCTATCCTCCCTCCGGTCCCTCCTCACTTCCTCCGCGCGCCCGTATTTCTCGTTTTCTTCATCCTTGCCATGGTACGTCGTTCCCCCCCCCGCCGTCTTATGATTTCGTCTAGTGCGTGTTAACCTTCTCCGGCCCCTCCCCTGTTAGAGTGGACCGCGGCCCCCTCCGTACTCCCCGGAACGCCCGCCTCGGCGTCCACCTGGCATATCCATCGCCGCGTCCTTCTTAGCCCCTTCAGGGCCTCCGTCGGGGAACGTACATGTCCGCCAACCTTCCCTCCGGGGATTGTCGGTTGACGAGCAGCTCCGTGCCCTCGAGAGCCGTACCAACGCCCTCATGAACCATGCCGAGCGCTCCGAGTCTCTGTTTGCCGACTTTCAAGAGCACCTCCTTGAGGATCTCCTCGCCTTCCGCTCGCATTTCGAAGGTTCCGACCGCGACCTGTGGGACCGTGCGCAGCGCACCCTTCACCTCGTCACCGACCTCCGCGAACAGCTGGATCGCCACCAGATCGACACCGGGATCTGCGTCCACGACCTCTCCACTTCCATTACCAGGATCTCCCGCGATACCGACTCCCTGACCCGTCGGGTCCGTGAGCTGGCCGCCTCTTCCTCTGATCCCGCCGTTCTGGACGCGTTAACCACCGTGGAGCAGCGCATGGCGTTCCTCATCACCCGCCTTCAGTCCATCCCAGTTTCCTTCCCTACTCCGCCGTTTCCTCCTCCGGACCAGTCCCCTCCGACGCCTCCTGTCTCTCTTTGACGGGCCCGCGCCACGGCGTCCTCTTCTTAGATCTCCTCTCCCTCCGTGTCTGAGCCCTCCTCTTCCGCCTCGTTCATGGTGAACCGCTCGCCCAGTTCCTCATTTTCATCCGGTAAGTACTCATCCCACTCCTGCAGGTCTCCTATGCTGATCTTTCCCTCCCTCCGGTTTCTATAAGGTGCCACCCGGAATGCTGCGTATCGATGTCGCGCTACGCTCCCATCCAGCTCCGCCAGGATATACGAACCCCCTTCCGTTCTTCTTACCACTATCATCGGTCCTAGGTACCGTCTCTTCGCCTTCCGGTTGTGCTCCGTCTCGATCTGCGAGTTGCGAACGAGAACGAGATCTCCCGGACCGTGGTTGTAGTCTTTGATTGTGTACGTGTTCTTCTTGATAAAGTGCTCCACGGACTTGTATCGTGCCGTCAGCACCTTCCCATGTATCGCGTTGAGATCTTCCCTCCGCTTCAGTAGTGCCCGCGCGCGCTGTGCAATGAACTCTTCCTGCGATAGTACTCCCTCCGGCTCCGGGACGAGGAACGTCGCCTCCGCTAAGTCAAACGGAAACACTGGCTCCACTCCGTGCACGATCCGGTACGGCGACATCCCGGTGCTCTTCTGAATAGATACCCGTTCCGCCCAGAACACCGCATCGATAACCGTAGGCCACTTGGTCTCGTTCCCTCCGCAGAGCTTCATGGCTGCCTCGCGCACGTCGAAGTGCCTTCGTTCCACCGCGCCATTCGCCCGCGAGTTGTACGGCGAGATCTTAATGTGGTTGATACCGTACTTCTTCGACAAGATCTCCATAGCTGCGATGAACGCAGGCCCGTTATCCGTGACAAACTCAGCTACCGCACCCCAGCGACATAGGATCTCCTCGAAGATGAAGGCGGCCAGCGTCCGCGCTGTCTCGTTCCGGAGCTTTCTCCATTCCGGGTACGATGACATCGAACACCGGGCTTGGACGATGTATGAGTACCCTCCGGCCTTCGGCATGTGCATCGTGTCGATATAGACCTTCTGGAAGAGGCCTAGCGGTGTCGCTACCGTCGGTGGGATTCTGATCTTCTGCGTACTCCGCAACTGGCACTCGTGGCACGTACTGACGTACCATTTCACGTCTTGATCAAGGTGAGGCCACCAGAATCGTTCCAGTAGTCGCGTCCGGACTGTATACATCCCGCGATGCCCGAGATCGTCGTGCGCCTGCCTCAGTAGCTCCAGACGTCGTTCCTTCCGGATCACGCGCTTGTGCTTTCCCTCCGGGTCGCGTCTCCAGAGCCGTCCCTTCCGGAGGAAGAACTGCCCGGCCTTGCGGACGAACCGGCGGAACAGCGCTTCATCAGCTAGGTCATCCGGTCGCTCCATGTCGCTCAGGAACTTCTGTATCCGTTCTAGCTCGGCGTCCCATGCCTCCGCTTTCTCGTGCCGCGGTATCTGCACCGCCTCCGGTTCGGCTCCTCCGTAGCGAGACAAAGCACACGCTCCTCCTCGCGAGCTCTCAGTCCCTTCCGGCGGCAGCTTGGCTCGCTGGAATTCCAACAGAGGATCGTTAGTGCGCACGCCTCGTCTATCCATTCTTCCGGGTCGCCCTCGTCCTCGGGATCCTCGTCAGCTTTCCTCCGGCGCGATAATCCGTCCGCCCCAGAGTGTCTGTCCCCCGGAACGTGCACCAGCTTGAAGTCAAACAGCAAGATCGCGGCTATCCACCGGTTCATCGCCGCATTCGGCTGTATGTCCGGATTGTTGAGCATGCCCTTGATGTACTTCGCGTCGACCTCGACCTCAAGGCTCTTCACTCCGATAACGTAGATGCGCGAGGCCCGCAGTGCCCGGAAGAGACCGTACAGCTCAATCTTCGCCTGAGAGTACCTGGACTCCCGCTCGTTCCACGTAATAGAGCTGAACCGGCTGGGCATTCGCTTCCCTCCGGTGTTCACCTGTAGGAGTACGAACCCTACGCCTATCACGACGAGTCTACCGCGAGTATCACCGTTCTGTCCGCCGAGTAGTCAATCGGAAGGAGTGCCGGCGAGTTGATTAGCGCGTCCTTGAGGTTTGCATCGCCTCTGCTTCCTCCGGTCCCCACATGAACTCGATGTCCTTGCGTGTCAACCGCGTCAATGGCCGGGCGATTCTGGCGAAGTCCTTGACAAAGATCCTGACCAGCCCCATCGTCCCTAGGAATGCCCGCACGTCCGTGATGGTCTCGCATGCCGGCCAGTCGCGGATCTTCTGCACTCGTCCCTCATCTGGCTCCCTTCCGGTGTACGTACACTTGTGTCCGAGTACGACTACATCCGGGACGCACATGTAGGCCTTCTTTCCGGAGAACGTCCCGCCGACCGCACCCATCCGTTGTAGGATCCGGTTCATGTTCTGTAGGTGTTCCCAGACGAATCGCCGTATACCAGGGTTCTCCGGGATCGTCTCATACCCTCCGTCCGGGAGCTCGTACCGTGTCTTAGGACCTTTCGCGTTGACGTCGTCTGCGAACGGAACCGTTACCTCCGGGATCTCGTCCTTCATGATGAACGTGACGTCCCCGTGTACAATCTGCAGCGCGTTCGTCCAGCCCATCGGTACCGACGTGAGTCGCATGGCTCCTAGCGGGGACTGGAACGTCGTAAGATCGCGGGACCTCGCATCCAGGGTACGCTGGTCAAAGGCCACAAACAGGTCCAGGGAACCGTAGCATGCTCTCCCTCCGAAGGATTCAGCCAGATGCTCGACGAACGGAGGGACCGCAGCGTCCTTGATCGTCACCGCGTTGAGGGCTGTAGATCATGTACTAACCGGAGGGACTTTCCGTCCTTCTTTACCACACAGAACCAGCGCGATCTGTAGGACGAGCTCGAGGGTTCGTACACACCGGACCGATCTTGTCCTTGATGATCCGTACGACCTCGTCGTATATGCCGGGCGGGATCGGTATGTTCCTCAGCACCCAGGGACGTGCTCAATAGTCGGAATGACCACCGGATCGAAGTACTCGTCCTTGAGTCGGCCCTTCTCCGTCTCGTCCCATGCGAATACGCCATTGTGCCATGCGACCAGCCAGTCTACCAGTTTCGTCTCCTCTTCCGTAAGGAACCCGTTCCCTCCGACGTTTAACGCGTCTCTTCGCTCCTGTGTGTACCTTCCGGTCGGAACGAACTCAGGCGGTTTCGCTGGCAGCACCGGCATCCCTACTAACGCGTCCTTAGCTTCCCTCCGGACTACCCTGAACTCCTCCGGCAGTGTCGTTGCTACAGGCCGTACCTTCCGGGCGACCTTCTTGTACGCCAGGACCTGGGCCTCAGCTCCTTCCTCAATTGCAAACTCGTCGTCGTCTCTTCAGGCTCGTCGGGTATCTCACCGCAGTCCTCCCCGTGGTACTGAGCAACGCTATCGTGTATTTCGCCGCTACGCTCTTCGTACTTTGTACATGACGGGGTATGGGTATCTGCGCGAGGGCCGACGACCTGTGCTCCTTCCGTCCGGCATCAGGGACCTCCTCTTCCTTCCGTCCCCTCCGTCCCAGACGTACATCGAGAAATGGCTCACTAGATCGTCTCCGCTCGCAATGCTTGCATCATCGACAATTAAAAATCCTCGTTGGAGGCGTCATCGCGCACGTTCGCTCCTTCCGGCCAGGTCCCTGGGCAACGCGCTCGTACGTAGGCACCATGACGCGGCGTCCGCTCTTCGGGTCCGTCAAGACGATCGTCTGGTTACCGTCCGGGAAGTCCTTCGTCTCGCACTGCGTTGCGGCGAAGAACGGTCTCCCAAGCAGTACTTCGAAGGCGCGACCTCGACGATCTGCGCGTTCAGCATACCTCGACCTCGTCGTCGAAGGAAACCGCACGTTCATGGCCTTGCCGACCGTCTGGACCTTGGACCGGTTCGCGGTTTCCATGATGCAGCCCTCGTCCGGCGCACGTACCTCCGAGCTTAACCACAGTCCTTCCGGATGATAGTCATCTGGCACCCGGAGTCCAGGACTCCCTCGACGTCGGCCTCCCCGTTACGGTAGGCGTACCACTCGCAGGCTCAGCGAGTCCCAGCTTCCGGCGTTCGGCAGCTCACGCTCCCCTCCGAGGAACACTTCCCTATCGACAAGGAAGCTCTCATCCGCCTCCTCAAGGCTATTGGCGACCGGACGCGCTGCGCCTTGCACTGGTCCACCGTTGCGCGGCGAAACTCCTGGCTGACTTCGGCAACCTCTCCCCATGCCGCCGCTCTCCTCCGTAGAACATACGCTTCACGAGCTCCTCCGCCTTTCTACCGGATCCTTACTGCCGTTAATCTTCGTTGAGTACGGTACTGCGGCTCGCTCGCACGCGGCTTCCCTCCGTCCTTCGCTCCGGGTCCCTTTCCGGCATCCTTCGCGGCGCCAGTCTTCCCTCCGTCGACGGGGATGCTCTTCGCTGGGATGCCCGGAGGCTTGCCGCTCGCACCCTTCAGCCCGCTGGCCGTACTTTTCCCTCCGCGTTCCTCCTCGAATCTGACCTTCTTCGCTCCTCCGCGTACGCGTGCTGCCTCCGCTGCCAATACTTGGGCTTTTTCTTCGAGCTCGCGGGCCCGTTCCTCCGTATACGCGTCTCGCTGTTCCGCCGCTTGCTCGTAACTGTACTCTGACGATATCTCCACGATGTTGGCAGACAGGTGGGGCGGCGCGTCCCTCGTCGTTCCGTCCGTGGCCCCGGAGGAAGACACGTTGTTCTCGTTCAACGACCACCAGGTGTCGACGCGGTGCATCATCCACTGACCCGCAAGGTTCCTCGGGACGTACGACCCGTTTGGCAAACGCACGCGGTTCTCTCCGTCCATGTAGATTTTGCCCATCTCGACGTACCGGCGACGGTGCTGGCAGGTCCTCATATAGTGACCGTGCTCGCCGCAGAAGTTGCACTGGTCTGAGCTAGGCGCGTAGCTCGCTCCACCACGGTCGTATCCCCCTCCGCGTCCGCCTCCCTGGCTATAGTCGTACCCTCCGGTCCCGGCCTGACCGTATCCTCCGGTCGTCTGTGCTGGCGGCGGTCCTCCGTATCCTCGGCCTCCGGCAGCCGGCGCCCCTCCTCCGTATCCTCCTCCTCCGCCCTTCATCATACTCATAGCTGCAGCAAACACACGCCCCAGCATAGCTTCGTCGACGGACTCGGTCTTCACTCCGTCCGTACCGCTTCCTCCGGGACTCCCCCCACCTGTACTGCTCGCTCCGGCGGCCCCTCCGTAGCTGACCGCGTCAAGACACTGCTGCGCGGCATCGTGCACCTGCTCCAGGGTGTATCCGTCCACCGGATCGACGGTCGGGTTACGTATCTCGACGCGACGGCGGATGGCCTCAGCGGACGCGTCCGTGAATCCAGCCATGTAGACCTTGAAGACCTGCGAATCGGATACGCGGCCATTCTTCTTCAGGTACTTGGCCACCGGAAGGAACTTGCGGTAGTACTCCGCTTCGCTGGAACGCGTAGCGGTGCCCTCCGCCCTTGCCGTGGCCGACGCGGCCTCAAGGTCGCTGACCAGGTAACGGGACGTACCATCCGACCCGGGGTACAGGGCCATGATGCTCTTCTTGTATTCGTCGAACGACGCCGGCGTAGGTACCTCGACCTCGTCCCATAGCTCGGACTGGTCCGGCTTGAGGTAGCGCTTCGCGTAGTATACCTTCCGGGCGTCGTCCTCGACGCTAGCGATGGCAAAGAGTTCAGCGAGGTCGTCAAAGTAGCGTCGGAGGGAACGAGGTTGACCGTCAAAGGTCGGAGCAGCGCGATCGCCACGGACGGGCATGGAACGTACTGGTGGTGCGGCCATTGTTTCGGTGGGACGCGGAGGAAGGTCTGATGAGGAGAGGGTAGATGATGACGGGGCACGAGATTCGGGTATCGGAATGGGGGTCTGCTCGAGCTTAACGACGGGCGCCGTTGACTTGCTGTCGGAGGGAAGCGATAGGGCTCTCCTCCGGGTGGTGACGGCTAGCGGGATCGAGTCGCTCGATGATGACGTGGCAGGGGAACGGGGTGCTTCTACGGCCTCGAAGAATGAATACTCTCCGTCGCTGTCTTCGGAACGGTGCGGGGGTATGGCTTCTAACGCTGGCGCGGGCAGGGTGACGTTGAACGGTGTGTCCGGAGAGTACTGTGCAACGGCGACCTCCTGTAAGAGGTTTCGCTTTGGTCCGCGCGGCGGCTGCTGCCTTGTAGGGATCGACGGCTGGTCGTTGTTACGCGGTTGCCTGGGAGGCAGCGTGACGAGTCACCAGAGGGTGTCGATGAGTTTTACCAACAAGCTATACCCCCTCGCGGTGGGCTCCAGTTGTGTAGGTTGCGAGTCTCCCGGGTCGAAAAGAGACCGGAAGGAATCGATGGTGTCGGTAGAAACGACGGGCGGGGGCTGTTGGCAAGCGGATGGGGAGGGGATGTGACGATTCGGGCCCGGAGGGGACGTACGAGCTCGGATACTCGCAGGGGACACTGTAACGCGGTCGGAGGAGAGTGGTGGAGTCGTCCCACAACGCAGGGACTCAGAGTGAACGCGTAGAAACTCGTTGAAGCCGGATAAAACGCAGAGAGCCGGAAGGAAACGCGGTGCTCGTTGAAGGTGAACGCAGTGATCTATTCGCAACGCAGTAAACGCAGTAAACGCAGGACGCAGTCAGAAACGCAGGGAATCGCCGTTGAGCTCGCTCTCTACTCCTAGGTGGTAGGTAGGTACGATCTCCCCTCGTCCGGTCCCCGGCCCCCTCCCTTATGTTCCCTCTGACTCGATCTCCCACGCCTCCGCCTTGCTGGCTCCTCTCCCCGTACTCTTCCGTACCTTCCGGGTCCTCTCGGGCCCTCCTCCGGTCCCCCTTCGCCCCACCGGTTCCCGTCCTCCCCTTCCACTGTACCATGTCGTCCTCCATGCCCCTCAATCCCCTCGCCACCGTCTATATCCGCCGGTACTTCCTCCTGCTGGAAGTGCTTCGACATGAACGGGCCGCCGAGCCACGCCTCGATATGTCCTCCCCTGGCACCTGGCTCGTGTGGGGTCACGGCGTTCGCTGGCTTCTGGTACACATGCCCCCGCTTGTCCCTTCCGCCGCTTGACTCTTGTCCTAGCGCATGCTCTTCGACTCGTTCTCCCTGGCTACGGCCCATGGCGACGCGTCCCTTCCGTCACCCCGCAGTGTTCCCTCGGTGGCCTCTTTGCTCGCGTATGTTGACGCCGTATTCGAGGGCATTCCCTCCGACATCGACACCGGCACCGCCCTGTATCCTGCCATCGCGTGGTCCCCTCACAGGGTCCATGCCGATCCGTCCGTCGGACAGCCTCGCCCCCAGTCTCCCCCTCAGTTCGTAGACCCACCCCTTCGCCTATCTTCCCTCCGGCTTGCCTCTGATAATCACGACTCCCTTCATGCTCGCATGGGCGCGTTGATGAGCGAACAGCGGTCCTCTGCCGGTCGTATCCGTAGCGACGTTGGGTTTGTAGTCCGCGAGATCTACGACTTGGGCCGTTCCGTCCGCCTGATCACCGAACCTGATGGTGCTTTCGGGGGTGCTGCCGGAGGGAACGTAGATCCGGAGGAGAGTTCTGTCGGAGGCCCGGAGGGTATCGACGTCACCGTTCCGGAGATGTTTGACGGAGGGAACACTATTTCGTAGCGCGGAGGAGAGTTCGGTCGGGGCCCGGAGGGTATCGACGTCACCGTCCCGGAGATGTTTGACGGAGGGAACACTGTTTCGTAGCGTACCCTTGGCTTGTAGTCGTTCGTGACTCTCTGAATGAACGGCCGGTTCTTGTGCCGTTCCTTCCCTTGTGCTATACGTTGCCTTACGGGGCTGGGCTACGTCCCTGCCCCACAGCGGCGTCCTGGACGGCCCTCCAGTGGAGGAACACGTTGTGCCCGACGAACGGCGCGACCTCGCCGTTCGCGCACGCGTACGAGATACATTTGTTGATACGCCGGTGAAGTACGCGAAGCAGTGATGCGCGACCTGCATGATGTCCGACTCGTGCTGGATGACACCGACATCGGGGCGTTCCGCCATCTCGCGCGCCGCGTCCCGGAAACAGTCCTCTGGCACGATGGTGTCCGAGTTGACGATCAGGATGATCTCGCCAACACGGCACGCACGTCCCCACGTCCGTTAGCGGCCCAGGGGCGGAACTTGCGGCCGCTCGACTCGTACACCTCGTTGATGGCAATCTGCAGCACGTGCTCCCTTCCGAGTTCACCTTCTCGTCGTCCTCGCCGCCGAAGCCGACGACGCTGGCGTTACTGCCGACCCGGTGCTGGTACTGCATGCCGTAACGCTGCTCTGCCTCATGACCGAGTGAGTCGCTCTTCTGGGGGCCGCGCTCGTCTCCACAATGAGTGAGAGCCTCAAACCGTAGTTCATGTTCGAGGCTTTCTTGAACCGACCCGCACGCTGGAACCCGTCCGGCGCATCATCAAGCTTCGGCCGCGCGACCCAGCCAATGCCGTGGTTGGCGTAGAATGCTATGCGTGTGTCACGCTCCTCGAGCGAGAGCAACTGTCACGCAGGCATCAGCGACCCGCACAGCAAGCGTACGTCGGAACTCACCCTGAGACCATCGTCGTTGACGAGTATCATGGACGCATCACCTTGCCGGGCATACGTCTGCATCGCGGTCAACAATCGCACAGCTCATAAGCCCGAATGGGAACTCACAAGACAGTTTCCAGAGACTCCTTGTACACCGGCATATCAATCGGCAGGCCGTTCTCCACGATCTTGTTCGGCCAGGGCTTGATGGCGGAATAGTACCTTGAGTGTTCGTGGTACTGCGCAATGGGACCGTGGGTACCAGGGACGCCGGTGTGCCCGGTGCTAGTGGAAGTATAAGTATGTGGACGGCGCGCGACCGAGCCGAAGGGCGACCGAGAGTGCGAGTGAGAGGGCGAGAGAGACAGACGGCGAGTGAGATGACGGCGAGACAGAGGGCAGAGGGGCGAGAGGGACGTCAGGCAAGGACGGCAGAGTCAGAGCGAGGGCGCAAGCGAGCGGGCAGACCGATGAGGGTGTGTGGGCATGAAGGAGAGGGCATACGAATAGATTGGTTACTCAACGTTGCCTACACTCTACCTAGGCTGCGCTCCCCGCCTGCGACTTTTCGACTTCCCTGCAGTGGGACGTGCTGGCCGCCCACTGTCCCCTTTGCCCTCCGCCTTGCCTGCCCTCTGCTTTGCTTTCTCTTTCCGGGTGTCGCTCACCCGCCCACCGTCCTCCTTGTCCTTCTTGCACCGCTTGCTGGTACGAGGGACAGGGTCGTCTGCCGGAGCGGCGCGTTTTGCGACGGTAGGCTGTAAGGTGTTAGAAGATGGTCCTTTGCGAATACTCAGTACTCACCGTGACCGTGCTCGAACTGGACGCCCCGTTACTACGCGCCTCATCGTCTTCGCTGTCCGACGGCACCTCAATGACGACGCGACATGCGGCACGTCGCTGGACGGGGGGAGGAGGGAAGTGTGAAAAATCCATCGTGTTCTTGTATCCGCAATATACTAGACCGTCTTCTTCGAGCTTGGTGCTATGCACCTTGCTCTTATTGATGTCGGCGCGGAAGAAGCCGACGTACTGAATGTCGTCGTCAGCAGGCTGGGGGTGAGCCCCAGGCATATCTAGTGTAAGTCATGTAGAAAGCCCAGAAGCATAGAAGAAAATGGTGACGCACCGGTGTCAGAGGTTCACGTCAATGTGTGCAGGAGACAGAGGATGCGGCACTCCTCCGGTCGAGTTGAGCGTTCAGATCTAGATCTCGATCTCGATCTCGATCGCATGCATGACCTCACCTGTCACTGTCAGTGGGCTGTCAGTCAACTTTTACCACCCGTCCGTCTTCTTGTGCCCACGCATCGTTGTACAACCACACTAGTTCGGGCTCGCGCTGCGTATGTATTATTTCCAAGTAGTTCGTTCAATAAACTACGTTGCTGTGCTGCCTCGTATTTCCTTTCCACAGAAACCGTATCACCATATAGTCTGGTAAGCATACTTACTAGACCAGTTGTTCAATACGAATTTTGAGGCGCAGTCAAGAACCGTGTCTGATTTCCAGTCATCAGGAACTGAACGCTTGAGGGAATCCGATGACGATGGGCCGGGGAAGCGGGGAATTAACTGGCACGATTGGCGAATGGAACTCAAGGGTACGACGTCTCCTTGTGGTTTGCCGTTGGATGGCAGAGGAAGCTTGTTCACGTCGTACATCATGTGTACTGGGTTCGCCGTTGAACCCAGCTTCCCGTACCACTCCACGTAGGCTAAAGGCCCCTCCTGGGCCCACTCCTCCGGTGCTTCCATATCCAGGTTTGTGGTAGGATCGCGTATGGTTTTGGGAAGCTGAAAAATAACTCTCAGTCTTCCGACGCGAGTCCCTGTATTGTACAACTGTTAGTTAGGGTTCTACGGCGGTCAGAATACTAGTGAGTCCTACCTTGTAACCCTGTGGCTTCAGCCTCGTCGCCGCGCAATACGACAACGGTATCGAATCTTGCTGGCTTGTCTGCTGAAGAAGGCCTGGCCTTGACGCCATCCTTCTCTTCGGTGTTGTCGTTGAGTGGAATGTTGTTGAACTTGAAACCGTGAAAGACGTCCACTCGGCCGAATGGTAGGTGACGGTTCGCCCGGTCCTGCTCTCTAGGGCGGAGTCTGCGCTGTAGTTTCATAGTATAGACGTACTGCGAGACGGCGTCGGTGAAGCCCGGTGCCGCGTGTCGTTCCTCGATGGAAGGTAAGGATTGTCGAGCGAACGACGGATGTTTGGCTAATTTGATGCGTGTTTTGCTGCTGCGAGGGAGGTGCGTACTGCGCTCGTCGTCTTCAGAGTTTGCTGTGCCAGTCGTACTCTCCAAGGCAGACACTGCTTGTGGGTCTGCAGACTGGTCCGTAAGTCTGCCGCGTAGGGTATCGTACATAGAAACCTTCTCCCTCCTGTCGAGCCACTTGATCATCTGTGGGCGAGCATTGCGGTGGTTCGAGGCTCTCCACGCCTTCTTCGCACAATCAATGTGCAACCGCTCAAACATCTCGGTGTTGAAGTTGTCGGTCGTGCCGAGCCTGCGGATAGAATCGACGTAGTGTAGAAGGGAATGGACTTTCGGTATGTTCAGGTGCTCCCGAATGCCGAGTTCCTCCAGTATATGCTTGTTGTCGTGGAACGTTTTGAGGGCGTCTTCCATGTATCCGAGGTAGACTCGTCGTGAGTGGGTACTGGGAAAGGTATATGAAATCGAGCAGCGAACGGAAGGTGAGCATTGCAGCCCTGGGTATACGGCCAACGAGGCATCCGAGGAGAATGCGTGCGATGTCCTTCCGCTCGCTACCGGAAACCTGAGAGAGGGCGGATATCCCGGTCTTGAAATGACGGGTGCCGTACGCCGGAGGGAGGCAGCGAATGCGACGGTCGAGTTCCTTCTCTCCGATGAGTTCGGTGGACCACTCCACTATATGCTTGAATACGCCTTGATAGAGCTGGTGAAGGATGTCAGGCGTGATGCAGGAGTGGATGTCGGTGTACGGTAGGTCCTCCAGAAAGGTTTGATGCAGTAACCGGAGACGTTGAACTGCTTGCAAGACTTGGAGAAGGCTGTGGAGCCTCTCTCGCCTTGCTGACGAGCTTTCCGTAGCACGTCCAGGGTCCAGAGCTGGGCGTGAGGTGTCTTCGCAGACGCGTCCCCAAGGCCGCTCTCCGGGCACTGGCAGATGGGGCAAGTCCCGTACTTGGTACAACTGACCAAGCACTGCTCCGGGTAGTCCGCGACGTAAGACGCCAGGATCGGATGAACCCTGCGCACGTTTCCGTCGCCACCCGTCACGTCAATTCCCTCCTTGCCTGCGTCGACAAGAGGCTGGAGGATGGTGCGCACCGAAGCGTGGAAGAGCTGTTGGACCAATGCTCTCCGCTTGTTCTCGGTGATGCCGGCGGAGTCGACCTTATCCACGGAAAGGTACCCGATGAGTATGCAGGCGTGTTCGGAAGGCTTACGACGAAGCTCTTGGGGATGTTGCCCAGGTCATGTAAACAGGGTAGGCGGATTTGTTTCCAGAGAACTGCGTGAGTTGTGTCTTGTCAGTCGAGATAATGACTGGCGCAACCGCAGCGCCTGCCGGTAAGATACTCTAGAATCTTCTTCAGCACCCCGTAGATTTATGTGTTGGTAGTGCTTACCTGGATCGCGTGCCACCATTGACCGGTCCACATCTCCGTGTAAATCCGGTTAGTGCGTGCAGAGTTTGAGAAGATACGACTGGGTCATACACGATGATTCGCGTGAGCCGGGTTTCCTAACAAAGCCTTGATCGCCTCTATGATGTCACGGTATTGCACCAAATGTCGTTCGCCCGGACGATCCTTGAAGGTCAGCCAGCATTCCTTCCAGGACCCCTCTCTGGGATGGAGTCGACCTTCTGAAGCAAGGCTCGGTTGTTGTATATGTCGCGAGCCTCTCTTGCACCTGTAATTTAATTCAGTTCATCTAACCAACCCGATGGAACTGCACTTACTTCTGGTATTCGAAGAAAGTGGTCTACCGCGCCCTGCCCGATCCCTTCCTTGACGAACCACTTCGCGATCTGCCAGTCCATCTCGGACTCGAATGGGGCCCACACTGCATTGACCCGTGCTAGTACGTCTTCATCACCTAATATTGATTTGTCAGGTTAGCACTGTGCACAGTGCAGGATAAGTTGATCCTCACTGCGTCTCTGCCCGCCCAAGCTATCAAAATGCTCTCTCCACGACTCTCTATTGTTTCCGCAGTCCCTATTACCTTTCCTGCACTCCTATCGATATCCTCCACCCTGTCGTCATCATCATCATCAAGCGAAAGGGCGGTACGTCGAGCGGGCGAGGGTGCTGATGATGTCGACGCTACGGGCTGGCTGGGATCATGTACCGGAATGAACTGGTACTGTGTGTCACGTTCATCCTCTTCCTCCCACTCTGCACTACTATCCGCGTCGCCGTCACCCGTAACAAGGTTGCCGTCAACATATACGCTGTACGTATCGTCAGAAATGATAATTCGTCTCACCCAGAAGTACGGAATATCTCACCTGTTCGCCGCGTCGCCATCCTCACTGGCAGCATCAGCCTCCTCGTCTGAGGAGTCCGATGTGTCCGTCTCCTGAAGATACGCCCTCAACTTTCCCTTTTTGTACCAGGCGCACTCTCGGCTTGTAGATTGATGAGCCATGAGCCCTTGCACGGTGTCGAACGAACCGCCGCATGCATCGCATGTCTCCGCCAGCAAGGCATACAAGTGTCTTGATCGCTTTACCATGTCTTATGAGTCTTTCAGTACGTCATTTTTTGCCAGACATGCTTCAAAAACTCACCGACCGACACTGAAGCCACAGTAAAATTCTTCAGAGTCAATGTCTCTCAGGAAGGTACTCAGAGGTTGCAGCAGGACACGACGCTCAGTTGCCACCGACCCTGCGCACTGTTACGTTACGTTTCCGCGGGTACTTCCCTGCCTTGGCGGCAAGTCCGCACTGACAGCGCGAGATTGATGGCTCCCGCGGATCTGGCTGTCCGGCGCGCTTCTCACGAGACTCATGCACTCTGCGCCCAAAGTACGTACCCTTACTGGTGCTCCGCTCCTTGTACCTCCCAGGTAAGTTGTTCTGTTGGTCAGTCAGCTCAATTACGGATAACATCTGTTTGATACAGGAATTGCCGTGCTACGTTGCGTGGAACTGCTGGTGCATCGTCAACTGGCGGTCCTGGTAGTATTGGCGCAGGTGAGTGCACTTACATACCTGTTCCCGT